GGGGCTCCTGGCCTTACTACTAGGAACAAGAAGCTACTAGGAACAAGAAAAGACAAGAACGCGATAACAGAACATGAAGGCAATAACCGCCCGCTTCAGGTCATGGTTACTCGGTGGTTGCCTTAGACTCGCGGTCGCTTGACATAGAAAACCTAAAGAAGAGGTAGTAGAAGAGGTCCAAAGGTCCAGAGAGTCGAACACCTTCTTCTTCCTGTTCTCTTCTCTTTGGTTCTAAAAGCCATGGCATCCAACCTAATAACGATGGCCTTCAACCTACTAGCAATGGCCTCCCACCGACTAGCGATGGCCACCGCTATGGGGTTGGAGGCCACCGCTACTAGTTGGGAGGCCATTGCTATTACGTGGGAGGCCATCGCTAGTAGGTTGGAGGCCATTGCTACTGTTAAGTTAGGAAGGCTATTGGCGTGCCGTTTGTTTTAGTTTTTCTCGTTCTCAGGGGGGCGAAACTGTGCCTTCACGCCTGGGCCAGTACTGTGAGAAGACCTGTGGGCCGCTTGGAAATCAAGAAAGGCATGACCACATGCACACGGAGAGATGCTTAAAGCTATGCTATTTTGCTGCACAGGTCATCCGCACAAGAATCAGGATCGATCAAGGTCCAGGTTGAATATTCATTAGTTGTCAGAAAGGTGACACACAGTGACACACACAAAAATGTTAAAAACAAAGACTTACCGTCTCAGTCCTACTGATTGCAAGAGTGCTGTTCCTAACAAGAGTGTATTTTGCAAAGCTGCAGGAGAACCGGCCCATAAAGTGCAGAATGTGTAGCGCCAGCGCCATTGACAATTCATGAAGCTTCCTTGAGGCCAAATGCTCCATTTGAGCTTCGCCAAGCGGCGGCAGAGGCCTTGAGCCCAGCCACTTGGCCTGGTTTGACAAGGAGCATGGGGTTAGTTGCGGAAATGGCGCTTTCAGGTGAGAACTCAGCACGTGAGCGTTTCTCAAAAACCACTTCCATTGTGCATTGTCCGCCTGGCTCTCAAAAACATGCTTGGGAATGTGTGTTTTGCTCCTATAGCATTCTTGCTACTAGTAGCGCCTATGAGTACGGCAAGGAGCCCCTAGTAGCTTCTTGTTCCTAGTAACGATGCCCTTTGCTCCGTTCGTAGCGTCTCCTAGTTGGATTTCGGCACGTTGGGATGTGCACCGTTCGGCTCCTTCACACTTCAGACCGTTAGGCCTAAAGAAGACCTATTGTAGATCGGAACTAGTAGTTTCTTGTTCCTAGTAGTACGGCCAAGAGCCCCTAGTAGCGTCCTTGTTACTACTAGTAAGGCACTTGTTACTAGAAGCGATGCACTTGTTCCTAGTAGCGTCCTTGTTCCTAGTAGTAAGGCCATGAGCCCCTAGTAGCTTCTTGTTCACTTGTGCATGGTCGTCGTCCGGAGTCGTCTGGGGCCCGGACGCTCCGACACTGCTCGACACTCGTCGACACTCGTTCTTCGTGGCTCGCGCTTCCTCCTGCTGGAAGCGGAAAGTTGTTCCTAGTAGCTTCTTGTTACTACTAGTAAGGCACTTGTTACTACTAGTAAGGCACTTGTTCCTAGTAGCTTCTTGTTACATTGCATCCGAATCCAGAACGGAAAAACACGGAAAGAACTTCAAAACAACAGCAGAATCGGAAAGCGTTCGACGCCAGCGGGTGGGTACTGTCTACATACGTTATTATGGTTTCCTGTCTGTTTACTGGAACAAGAGGGAGCAAGCGCAGCATTCACGGTAGCTAGTTGATCCATGTTGATCCATGAACACGTCACGGGACTAATCAACATTTAAATAACTGACTGCACGCTCGCTAGCAGGGTGGGGGCCATCGCTATTTGGTTCCTTGTGCTAGTAGCAAGAAGCTACTAGGGGTTCCTGGCATCGCTACTAGGAGCAAGGACGCTACTAAGGGCTCCTGGCCGTACTACTAGTAACAAGAAGCTACTAGTAGCTCCCTTTCAGATGTCGTTGGTTGGAAGACTGTTCTCATCACATTACTAACTGTCTGCACGCGCCGGTGGGTCTGTCGTTTGTGTTGCGCTTGGAGCCATGGGACGTGTTGCTGGGAGCCCTTCCGACCCATGCGATGATGTGGATATATTTGCCTTGGCTGAATTCTTCCAGTTCCTGCAGTGCCAAGTTCGCCTGGAGGCTAAGCTTTGCTTGGGTGAAAAGGACGTGCAATTGGAGGATCCCGACGCCAAATGCCTATGGCCGCTCTTCGAGCAATGGGTTGCCCCGAACATTGGAAAGAGGGAGAAGTGGGTGCCATTTCACACGGTGTTAGCACCGCACGAGCTTTTCTTGGTGCAAAGCATCCATCATAACACAGATCTCAATTGGAGCGACTTTCAGCGGTATTTGGCCATCTTCATCTTCAGGGCGCATTGCCAGAGGCAAGTCTTTTCTCATGCGCAGCTTCCATACCTGCTTACCGCGGATTTCTGGCATGATCCCAAGAAGTACTTTGATGACGATGGTCCAATCACCCAGTCCATGTCACTCACTTGCATGGTGCTGGGGGGCCGGTCTTGTTCACTATAGACTGTGTAGTAGACTCTTTGACTTTTTTTGGTATTCCTGCTAGTGACCAAAGAGTTGTTTGCAGGCCCCTAAAACTTTATATGTTGTGTCGCATGCTGGGGAGGATGAAGTATCGACGAGAAACGCATTTGCCGCTACAGACGGGAGCCTTTCTGTCAATCCCTGAGCGTTTGTTGGAAGATAACGACGAGAACCTGGTGATCAACGTGGCTCGACGAACGCAACGCCTCCTTGACATCGCCATGGAGATTTGGCCGACTTTGCAAAATCCAAATCTTTCAAATGCAGAAAAGTTTCAGCAGATCTCCAGAATCTTGAGCCCAACAAGCAATTTGTTACGACTATATTATACGTAGTCGTTTATTTTTGATCAACCAGGCTCTTCTTCTAGTTCTTGAGGAAAATTGGATCGAATGTGAAAAAGACTTTCTTATCGTTTCTCAGGGGTCATTCAGACTGGTCATGGCTTCGGAGAGACCTGGGCCAAAATGCTGATGGTCAGCATGGACATCGCCTTTCCTGCGGCGAAGCTCTTGTCAACACACTGCCACCATGCTGAAGCTGCACACCGTGTGTTTTCCTGTTTGATCAACTGTTCACATGTTTAGCCGAGCAACCGAGCCGCAGGACCGAAAGCCGAAGGATTTGAGCTGTGGCTTTTGTGGGAACCCAAGGCCCCAAACAAGAAGCTACTAGGGGCTCCTGGCATCGCTACTAGGAGCAAGGG